TGTTTGCCAGTGCAGTGCAAAGGCTGCAGCATACATCCTCTTACATTCGCCATGCCTTAACCTGTAGTCTCAAACCTGCTCTAGTGATTACAACTCCCTTCTCAGTACACATGCAAACCCACTTGACGTGCCAAGCAGCTGCTACCCGCCCACTGCTACCCAGTTACTGCATTTCTGGGCATGTGTACATAATACCTTGTAAAGCACTTTGACTTTTTTCTTTGGATTTCAAAAAACTATATAGGCATGAAACATCGTCATCTGGAACTCAGTACACAGGATGTGGAAGCAGTTTTTTAGGTTTTCAGAACGTCTCCATTCTTATACGTGCAGCCAAAGTGACCACACTCTTCTAATGGAAGCATCTACAAGGGCTATAGGAAATTTTGTGTTTAATGTGCTTTGTATGTAAATCTAATTAAGCCTTTTGTTACTATCTCAGATTTAAAGCAATAACAGCTAGGAACAGCCTTTCAAAGCAAGCGTTTAAAGAAAGTACAAATGGTACCTGGGATTTTCAGTAACAATTTATCATCGTGGATATTCACATAAGGTAAAATATTTCCTTACCTCTGGAGCAGAAAAGAAAGGTAATCTTCCTTAAAAAAGAGATGAGACAGATGAAGGACTCTGAACTTGGGCAGTCTTCCATAGGAAGCTGATGTCCACATCCTGACAGTGATCTGATAGGAGCCCAAGCCATCTAGCAGATCAGTGGTGCTCAGCTGATTCACAGTTATCTGAAATGCCTGAGGTCCAGGCTCTGCTGCTTTGTTTTCACACTGCTCACAGTCCAATGTATCTCACCGCAAGAGTGGTTATCTCATTGTCTGTCTGGATGGTACTTTTACCTAAATAGTCTTCTTTCTGTAACCTTAAATATTTCAATTTTCCTTACTGCTTATCCCACAAATAGAAATAGCTTTTTATTGTACTCTAGTCACCTCTCAGCCCCGCTACGCACATTTACCTCTTTCATTCATCCAGAGAAGTCTGTCCCTCAAGCACAACAAGCATTTCTCTTCTTTGCAGAAGTCTCTGAGATTGTCCATACCTACGCTCGGATGAGGTCCCTGGGACAGATTGCCCAATTCCTAGTGCAGCCTTTCTAAAAAAACAGAAGTACACGAAATATTATTTCCCTGTTTCAGTAAAAATGTCTCTCCACATACAGCACAGAATTAGGTATTGGCTTGTTTTTCCCCAGACACAGTACCCTCCTAGTTATGTTCAGTTTGCTTTCCTCAGATGCTTTTTGTTCTCTTTCAGTTTTAGCACTGTCTGCATTTTACACTCATTCAGTATTCAGCTACGTCCTTGATTCGCTGTGGAAATCATGATTAATCTCTCTGAGACAGAAGCGACCTCAGCAAAAAATTGGTGCAAGTGAGAGGAGAATCAGAGCCTCTGTGGTTCAGTCCTCTGAATGTCTTTTTTCTGCTTATGCTTCTGCTCTTTTACTCCCTATGTACAGTTTCTGACACCAACAAGAACTCCAGTTTAAACTCTTCAGATTTCATTAATCTACAGATTTTTTCGTACTTGTATGACACTAATGATCATAAACCAAACCCAACTTTTATGTTGCCTATACATTAAGAAGGCAAAAGTAATGTTTTTTGCCACACATTGTCTGACCTTTTGTGGTTTGGGTTGGGGTTTTTTTAAACATTTCTTTTTGTGCCCACTTTAAGTAGCTCTCATTAACTCTACATTTGACATTTTTAATACAAATGTATTTTTTTACCTTGATCTTTGAACTTTAGCTAGTCTTGTAGAAAACCACAGTGACCACATTTGTTCCTTACTTTCTTCTCCTCGGAAATTGTACACAGCTAAGTTTGAATTATTCTGAGGGGGTTTAGGATTATTCAGCACTGTCACCTCTTTTTTTGCTCAGTTGTTATTGTTAGGTTTTGACTTATCTATTCTCTGCCCACAAAGGTTTTAGATCAGTCCTTTATTTTTTTCAGTGATCAAATCTGTTTTTTTCTCTCAATCACTTTAAATCATACTCCTAGAAGGCTACACCTCTCTCCCCGTTGCTGGTTTTTTGGTGGAGGGGTTGGTTTGCGGGTTTTTGGGTTGTTTTTTTTTTAATTGAGGGGAGTAGAAAGCTTGCTCTCCTTTCTCTAAAACATGGTATTATTTGGAATTTTCTTTTAAGGCAGAATGCAGCACTCTGGGGGATTCTGCTGGGAAGGCTTTCAAAAATACATGTAAAACATCCAAAGAAGTTAATTTGCAGCGAGGCATTGATTGAATGAATCTGTGATTATTCTACCGGTTTAGGGCAGGAAGAGCCATTTAGCAGTTCCTCCATTTAGGAAGCTAAGTGGCTAAGATGTCTCCGCATTGTCTGTTTTGTGTGTGTTTGTTCTGAATGCCCGTATGAGGGCTGGTTGTTCTAAATCTCAGTTAATAGGGTTTTAAAATCTGACAGAAGGTCCCCAGCTACTTCCACAAGAAAATGCATTTTGCTGTTTTTGTGAAAACCTGCCTGTATTTGATACAAACGTAGACCTCCAAAATCTGTAGTTTCCCTTTGTCTGTTGGGGCTTGGTGGCTAAAATCGCAGAAGATGCCTTCTGCAGAAACCCTGCCCATTGCTGTACCGCGTGGACCACAGGACAGCTACCATGGCGTGATGCCACAGCTCCGGGCTGAGAAGCACTCCCTCTGCAGCAGTCTTGTCCTAAGACGTTAAAAAACTGGGCACCAGAACAGGCAGCAGAGCCATTCCATGCTGTCCATACTCTCTTGCCTGGGAAATAAGGAAAAGGAGGAGGCAGCCTATGAAGAGGTGGATCACAGTGGAGATAGGGAATGTGGGAAATAAAAGGAAATCAATATGCATGAGAATTTATGGGTATCGTTTGTGTATGCACATGTACATCCATACATATAAGTATATGCGTATGTTTTGTATGTGTATGAGGAGGCATGGGACAGGACTGGATAGAAGCAGAGGGAGATGGAGAAGGCCAGAGTCCGCCCAAGACTTTTAACCCTGGCAAGCAAAATCGAGGAAGGGTCAGTCTGTCTCTTCAGGAACATATGACAAGTATAGCATCTAAGAAGTGCAAACAGACTTTTGCACAAGGTTTTCTGACACAACCATTCTTTACTTTCAGGTGCTGATTAAAAGAGCTGTGCACATTTACACCAATTAGCAGATGTACCTACATTTATTTTCCCCCACCTCAGTTCCCCTACCAGTCTGCAGCACCCTTTCAGAGCCCTAGGAACTACAGCTTTTCCTCAGAATCAGCCGGCTTTTTCTTCCTGCCTAGGTCAGTTCGCTGCCACTGGCACTGATGAGTCCCTCCAGTAAAACAGAAATCTCCCCCTGAAAGAAACCCAATCGGTTCCTCTCTCTCATTTATTCTAGTGACTCGCACAGTCTCTCCTGCTTCTTTCTCCTCTGACTCTCTCTATTTTTTGGTCTTGTCATTACTGTGTCTCTCTCCTGTTTGGGAGTCTTCCATTTTCATATTCCTGTGGACGGTAAAACCACCCATCACTTTTCTTAATAGCAGTGCCATTTACCAAAATCTTCAGTCTCTCCATGAATAGGCGTATCTTATCCACTGACACCCAGACAGGCGTCTTTCATTCTGCAGTGGCTAGTCATTGAAAAGTTACTTTACAATTGATGTAGTCTTTAAGCATCAATATTTTGGAAATTATATAAAAATGAATCACACTTTCTTTTGTCTAGCATATTCAATACATTTTGGTAATTTCAATTTAAAAGGTGCTGAACCTGTTTTTTTTAGATTGAGCATTGCTCAAATAACAGCAGTTTCACCTGCCTCGTTTCCAGCATCGAGGAGAATGCTCCACTATCTACTGTATTACAGATTCTTGTGGATTTTCTCCAGCAGCCACTTAGGACAACTGCAAGCTTGTTTTACCCTGGGGATATATATGTATGTGGCCAGTTGCTTCAGGTCATATTACTTCCAAACTGAAGTCAGCTTGACAGCTGTTAATTTGCACTTGGCCATTCCGTGTGTTGTTTTGCTCTAATTATTGGTCACTGTATGGAACAGGTGACAAATGCCCACATGAGAACTCTTTAAATCACTAGATGTACAACCATTAGGAAGACAAACAGACAGGGTTGTTAAAGACTAGTTTTCTCTCCAGCCCCAAACAGAAACAGATTTTAGCCGGTTTTGACATCTATTGGAAAGGGACGGAAAGAGGTGACAATACCTTACTGTTCATGGAACTAGCTTCCCATTCTCTAAGTGTCCTAGTTTCAGGGAAAGAGAGGAATTTAAGGAAAATAGAATTGTTCTAAGACCAGATGCAGAATCTGGTTTATCTAATGACTTTGTCGCAAGGTTCGATTAGGTGTTCTTTCCTAAGTAAAACTAAATGTGCCTACCAAAATATTTCCTCTGACCTTCAGCTACTACAACTATATCAAATTAAAGCAGGCAAAAAAATTTTCCTTTCTGAGCAAGAGAGTACTTGCTGAGCAAGAATGGCAAAACACCATCATAGCGAGCTTCCCTTCTACTGAAGTGTGGCATTGCAGAGGACATTAATTGAAGTCTGTTTTCTTAGACTCCCAGGGCCTAATCTGGATCTTAATTTGGGCCAGATTCTCTAAGGACATAAGCAGAGGACTTGTTTTGTTCCTGAGAGTAGTGAGTAGCTCCTGAATTTTTGCAAGATTATAGACCTGTCTGTAGTGAAAATTATGAATAATTTAGTTGATCTCAGTGGAGCTGCGTTAGTGAAAACAAGAAAAGATTCAGCATCTTGGAGTCTTGGTGAAATTACTGCTTTTAGACCTGTGCGAGCTGAAGGTATTACAACATGCTATTTGAGTGATGTCTTGTAAAGCATGCTAAAATAATAATACAGGCACAACACGCGGAAGCAGAGTGGTTGCCATAGGACACGCTTTACTAAGACTTAATCTGAACTTAAACTCACCTCTAAATAATATCCCACTTTTTTTTATTTTTGCCTTTTAAAAACAGGTGTAAGTGCAACCTTCACGCTACTGGCTGTAAAGAAGAAAACAAAAGACTACTTTGTGAATGTGAGCATAACACAACTGGCCCAGACTGTGGAAAATGCAAGAAGAATTACCAGGGCCGACCGTGGAGCCCTGGTTCTTATCTGCCTATACCTAAGGGCACTGCTAATATCTGTAAGTAGCTCTGTATAATAAGGAGATTTCATTATTAGAATTCTGCCCCGTATCATGAAGGAAGATTAATGCTGGCAAAAGTTTGTCATTTCTTTATGACCCAGTGCATGTAATTTGACAAGGGGTCAAATTGCAAGTGTTAATTGTAAGTATACATAATCTGTGCTCATACGTGGTTGTAAATAACTTGCATGAGAACTGCATGTTTGTATCCATAGACAAATCCCTGGACACTGCACAGAAAGGGCTAAGGAATGAAAAAATGAGGACCCTTCACATAAAAAGCACACACAGAGGAGAGAAGCCAGTGAGAGTATCTGCAGTACTGCTCCAGCCATGGCGCCCTCAGCCCTCCATTTATACATCCTTATTGCCTCGAGATTCAAAACAACCTCAGCTCAACGTGTGAGATGAGGTCCTTGCTCATTTTTTTGTCCCTTTAAGAAAGTTAAAAAATCTCAGACCAAATTTTTCCAATTAG